GAATGACAAACAAGGCCTTTTTCCTCTGTGCTCCCCATTAACCTTCATTAATACAACAACCCACATTTGTGGAATGCTTCTGAGTGGATGACAATATTTATTCATGCTTACTTGACAGAGTTCTTTAGCATCATGCCCCTTCTCTCATCATTTAAACTGACTGATAAAGAATATCTGGCAATGCCTTCCTTTATTTCACAACTAACAACATCAAGTTGTACTGCTGACAGCTTAATTACAGCTGCACAGAATAGTCGCCAGATCTGATTTCGTGTTTGTTTGAAACCAACAATGTGTGTGAGGTAGAAATTGCACATGTCCACCTAGTTATTGTGAAAATAGTTAACTTTTTCAATACTGTCCATAATCATTATTTTATACCTGGCTGATTGCATCAGATTGGGGGGGTCATATATTGAATGGGAAGGCATCACTTTTCCTTAGGATGTCCCCATTTTCATCGGAGAAATGTTGAAGGATATGGAAAAGCAACATGGCATCTATTGATCCCATGCTGTTTGTGAGCCTTCCCCCACCAGATGTTTGGGACCCCCCTCCAAGCTTCCAGATGTTTTGTGAACTTCCAGATGTTTTGGACTCCATCCTCATCATTCCTGACCATTGTCCATGCTGACTGATCAGAGGTGTGGTTCCCAGAGGAGGGAACCATGTTAGGGAAGACTATTCTATGCCACGCACAGAAGCTGAACAAAGGAAAATATCTCTTAAAATTTTATGGGATAGGGCCCATATTATGTCGGAGTCATTCTCAGAGTTTGTTTTGAATATCTGAGCTTTCCAGCTCTCCATGCTATTTTATTTAATTCATTATGGTCAACACAATTGACCAGATGGGTAGAATAAAAGCTGGCTAAGAAATGGCAAGGAAAAAACAAACAAGCAGTAAATCATACACAAAGCTTTCATTAGCTGCTAAAAAAAAATGCACTGCCATATTGATCGAAAATGTGATTGAAAATATAGCTGAAACCAAGAGAGCCTCTTGGAACTGATGGAACAAGTTTATGAACCTTAACTGTGGTGACAAAGGAATGAAATATAAAAACATACCCTTGCTTTGAAAATAGCAGACTGTGGGAGATTAAAAAAATGTTTTCTTTTATGTCATGCATTTCAGTGTGTGCTAAAATAAATGCTTATTGATTTTGGCTCCGTAGTGGGACAGAGGAGGGAAAGAGGATTGTGAAGGTTTGAGGCAGGGGAGGAGGAGAAAGAGTCTGGACCATTCCCCAAGGGCTAGAAAGCTAGAGAGCTTTGACACTAGAGTACAATCTGCGCAGCGAAATCGATGAGTAACACATTAGAGTATCACTTCATAAACAACACCAGACTGTATTAATGTAGAGTATTTTTATTTATTTTTTTAGAATAGCTTGAATAATTTCCAAATATATTATCCAATGTCTTTTTCAGTTTTAAGTCAATTCCCTTCCTTTTATTTCCATTAGGAATGATCCAAGCAAGTAGAGCAGTCTTATGCAAGTTTATTCTGAAGTACCTCCCATTTGGTGCTATCCTATTCATGTTTGCTTAAGTCCCATTGAATTCAATAGGGCTTACTTCCAGGAAACTGGATATTGGTCTACAGTATTAATTCCAGATAAGTGTACACAAAATTGCAGTCTACGTTTTTCTAACCTAAGTTTTGCTGCCTGTGTTTTCAGTCTGCTGTACGAAAAAGCACCTGTATCTGACCTTTGAAAGGTTTGTAAGTAAAAACTTTTTTTTTTTTAATTTACCAAACTGTGTGGTCTTTTCTATGCTAAAGGGGAAGAAAGGGGAAGTTTTGAAAGTGACTTAAAAGGGATATTTTAAAGGTCTAACAGCCTATATTTCTATGCTTTGCTTTGTTGCATGATTTTAAAGATCTCCTGAGTTCTTGCCCTACAGCTGGATTTAGACATCCAGGGGGAATTCTTTTTATTATTATTAAACCAATGAAGTTACCCACAAATACTTCAATTCGGGCCCAGTTTAATTGAGTATCTAGGTAACCTGGGGGTTTCTTACATGTGGTCTTATATTGGGGACTGAAATTCAGGTTTTAATAGACACAGCAGTTATTTGTTTGCACAGAGAAAGATTTAGACTAGTACTACATATTTCTCATATTTTCTGTTGTGGGACAGTGTGGGGATATGTGATCCTTTGATTTCCCACCCTCCAAAGAGGCAACTGGCAATATCAGAGGTAAGAATGTTAACCATCAGCCTAGTGTTCATCTCACACTCCTTCAGTTCAGTAAATGGCAACAACCACATAACCCTGAGTTGTTGACAGGACATTTTGCCCAACCTGGTAGGATGTAGAAACTTTATCTGATGGGTTGTTCAGGACAAATCAATTATTTGTGAACTGATTGAAAATTGCAGTGTGGAAGTTATATTATCCTTCTATCTATCAATATTTATCCGCATGTTTGTCCTCTCAAATCTGTTGTTGTTGTTGTTGTTTGAATCATACTGTTGTTTCCCAGCAATGCTTTAAGTATACCTTATATCTGGGAAAACACAATACAATTGTACCTCGGGTTACAGACGCTTCAGATTACAAACGCTTCAGGTTACAGACTCCGCTAACCCAGAAATAGTACCTCAGGTTAAGAACTTTGCTTCAGGATGAGAACAGAAATCGTGCTCCGGCGCCACCGCAGCAGCTGGAGGCCCCATTAGCTAAAGTGGTACCTCAGGTTAAGAACAGTTTCAGATTAAGAACGGACCTCCAGAACGAATTAAGTTCTTAACCCGAGGTACCACTGCACACATGCAACTTGGTAAATACAAAGGTAGAAGAAAATCACAAAATGAGCTATGAAATCAGCTATATCTAAAATAAACATCTACCCAATCTACAACAAGGGGGGAAAGCCATGCTAAACAGTAGCAATATTCAGTTCCCAGATGTTGGACTACAACTCCCAGCATACCACGTCAGCATGGCTAGTGGTTAGGGATGATGAGAATTGTCATTCAACATCTAGTGATCCAAGGATGAGAAAGATTGTCCTAGAGTGTGTTCTTGGTATAATAGCTCTGAGGTGCAGGAAGAACAACTTTGTCAACTAAAAGATTATTTCTAAATAGAGGAAACATCTTTAATGACAGTTTCATAACATTCTGTTGTTGGGCAGACTCTTCTTTGTTCTGCCCTTGATTTTAGTTAGCTTACATCAGTGTTGCCTACCTACCACTGCATAAAAGTAGCTGGTATAAGCATCCTTTAAATTAAATAATATTGAAAAAGGAGCAAGAAAGAAAAAGCAGGCAAAGGTGAGTCTTATAATTTGTCCATTAGCAAAAAGAAAAGGAGGCCTTTGTACTTTGTTTCCTTTCATATATTCAGATATCAAGGTCAGTGTGTGCAGATATAGTTAACCAAACTATCAAGTCTAACAGAGATCAATCATTTTTTTTGCCAAAGATTTCAAAGACTTGTGAAATAAATGGATATGCACAAATGTAATTTTATTGTGACAAACCAGCTCATGCATTGCTTGAGAAATGTCTCCAAACTAAACTATAGTTTGCAACCATGGTTTGGAGGGATTGCTCTAACCATGGATTTTTAGTTTTGATGTTATGGCCAACGGTGATTTGACAAAACCAGAAAATATTCTATTAAGATGAACAAGAGCAGGGAATATGGAAGGTGAAATGAGAGGAGGGTGGTAGGCCTCACAGCTCATTCCGAATTCTCAGATTGTGATTTGGAGGGTTAGGAAGATGGTGTTGGAATATGGATATTTTTGCTTCACTTTTGACCAACTGTGTTCATGGGAACTCCTGCATCTCTGAAGAATCAATTAGTGATGCAGGTAGAACGATTACCTCAACTACTTTTAACTCGCTGGGGCATTAAGCCACATAATTCAAAGAGAATAAAAACCCTCAGTTAATCATTTGGGTCATTTTATCATTTGTGTAAAACATTTAATTTTCTCAATGGCCCTTTATTTCATAACAAGCCAACACATCTGTTCAACGAAGATCCAAGATTAACACAATATTGGTGATATACAGCATTTTAAATTTTCCCCACTATTTGTCTAATGGCCCATTGTGATTTCCTATTAAGGGCAATCTAATTTATCAATTGGCAGAGGAAGATCATTTTCTAAATGTTTTAACATTGTTCATGCCACCATTCATTGTCACCAGACTTCTCTTCAACCTAGCCCTGTCACACACAAATTTGCAATAACCCCAATAAGTAGATCGATAACAAAAAAATGAATGACTTAATAAATTGTACAATTTCAGAGAATGCCAATTTTGTAGAGGGTAATAAAAAAGACAGTTATCTAATGAACACTCTTTGGTATCCAATTGCTGTCTTGTTACAATCCCATTTATCACCTGTGTTATTTCCCATTACCTATAATGGGACTTCTGAAAACTAATCAAAAGGAGAGTAGGCGTTGTTATTGTAGACAGGTCTTCACTTGCCCAATGGGTTTTCTTGGGTTCTTAGGGTCCCTTTAGATGTTCAACAAGTTGTGGGAAACAGGGAGAGCAAGGAGTTCCCCAAACAGGCCAATGAGGAGTGAGCATGTTCAATGGCTTTAAAAAAGCTAACAAGATGGGGGGAGGGGATTGGGAAACCGGGAATGGGGATCAAATGGAGTAGGCTGGAAGTGGGTATGGCTGGCTGGAATAATGAACAAGAGCACTCCACATTGCCAGATTTTTTGCATGGTTCACTCTTTCTCCTTCATGAAGGGTGAAATTTTGGGCTCTGCCCCATTAAAGACTCCTGTCTCCCAGATGTCTACCCACACATTAATAAGAATAATAATTTATTTTTTATACCCCACCCAACTGGCTGGGTTTCCCCAGCCACTCTGGGTGTCTTCCAACCAAATTTTAAAAACAATACAGCATCAGACGTTAAAAACTTCCCTAAACAGGGCCGCCTTCAGTTGTCTTTTAAAAATAAAATAGTTGTTTCTTGCCGACATCTGCTGGGAGGGCGTTCCACTGGGCAGGTGCCACTACCGAGAAGGCCCTCTGCCTGGTTCCCTCTAACCTCACTTCTTGCAGCGAGGGAACTGCCAGAAGGCCCACGGCCCTGGACCTCAGTGTCCGGGCTGGATGATGGGGTGGAGACTTGGAGATTAAGATCTTTGGGGTGGCACCTTACATATTCCCCCAATATTTTAGTCCCTGTATACCCAGGTCAGAGCTTCTTCAAGAGCAGGATCCCATTTGTGAAATCCCATTGCCAAGATGATTAGATCTGCTGGCTTTGCGGTATTTTATTCAAAAGAGGGGGGCATTTATATTAGTATTTGCTTCCCCTTGACAAATCTTGCTCAGTTTCTGCTTCTTCTCCTCGCTGTAGTTTGGCCGGTTATTTACTGTCATTTTTTTTTGGAAATCTGGTAGTTCCTTTATACATGTTGTTTTCAATCGATAGGTGGTATAGAAATATTGTAATATGAACGTTCATTCATCTGTGCCTTAGTGGTGTTCCTGGGTAGCTTTTTCCATATAAGTGTTCCGTTGGTACCACCTTTATGTGGCATACTGATTCAGTAATGGCAGAAGTTGATGTCGCCCCCATCCAGGTTCCATTGATGGGGATTCCACAGTGTACTGAATAATGATCTCTCACACCCAGGGATTATTGCACACTCATGCTTAAGACGTGTATTTTAGCAAAAGAAGTATAAACGCAAACAATTTGATTCTCTGTGACACAGCTGCTGTCCTCACTGACTGTTATGGAGGGGATTGCTGCCTCTCAAATTGCTTTTTTCACTGCACTACCATTCTTCACTTGATTTTTGTTTTTGACAACATATTCTAGAGTCACAGCATTAAAATAAAGGAAACCAATCTCTCATGCCCTCTATAGTACGGTTTGAAGACATTTATATCCTCTGGACACGGCAAATCAAATGACTCCTGCTGTCCTTTTGATAACATTTCTGAGCTGAACTTTTCCATCTGTGCCTGCCATCCTGCCTCTTCTTAGCCAAGAAAACTGTCAACTGGGGAAAGTCTCTCATTCTCCCAACTTTATCTGTTGTTGACTAAGGCTAAGTAGTAAGATGGTCGTATGAAAACTGACACACACTTGACACCTTTGCACCGGCTGTTGAAACAGATTGGAACGACGGCATGAGGACTGAAAGATTAGAAGTTATTTATACATGCCTATCTCTAAGTTAAAGACTTATTTGGATAGAACTATAGGAGACGTTCCAATCAATGTTAGGTGCTTCTCAGTCTCAAAAATTCAAATGGGTACAAGCTCAGAAATTACATGCCTGATTCTCTCATGAATTGTGATGGAAGATAAAAAGTGGCCAAATGGCTAACAATTTAAAAAATGGACCAAGCTCTTAATTGTGAGCACAAGAAAACTATATTCTCTTCCATTTCAAATTGAAGCAAAATGCATCACATTAAATACATGATTGGCTGGCAGTGTGGAGATTCAATGCCCATTTACTGCTTCTACTGAACATGTAAGGAAAATATACCCAATTAAATACATGATTGGCTGGCGGTATGGAGAGTTAACGTCTATTTTGAGCTCCCCTCCTCATTTTTAATAGTAAAGGATGGTGTTCCATTTGGGCAGCCATTTATCCACTTACATAGGGAAGGTCTGAGAATGGGAGATGATGCACTTGGGGCAAAGGGGTTAAACAGTTGGAGGGAGACTTTATACTTGGTAGAGATGAGTGAACTTCTTCAGGTTCACTCTGAAGTGTGCAATTAGGAGCAGCTGGGGCAAAATACCTTTCTTTTCTGAGAGTTCTAATTTTGCTCAAAATTGCTGCTTCTGTGAGTCGGCAAATCCCTTACCTGACAGGTGTGGCTGCTCCAGCTGGGCTCTCTCACTCTCCTCATTAAATCATTATGGTGATTGCTCCTGCAGAAGAGAAACAGGTCTCGCTCACATGGGTAGGCACTAGATCAAGACTTGCCCTTCCACAAACAGAAGGTGTTATGTACTGAAGTTCTCACCCTGGGCCAGCAGGGGGATACTGTAGATAGTTATACAAATAAGGGATCGAAAGTGACGTTCAGTGATTGGATAGTTTTAGAAAATTGTTACAGTTACATTGTACTGGAGCTCTATATAAGCAGGCTGACTGAACCCTTCTGTTCAGTTCTGTCCTGGCCTGTGAATAAACAAGAGCTGTTTGAAGAATCGCTGTGTCGTCTGATATGTTCACCCACAACTTAACAGAAGGAGTCATTTTGTTCACCAAGAGAATTTTGACCCAATGGAGTAGGAATGGAGAACCTCAGTTCCAGGGATCAAATGTCACGCTCCAGACCTCTCTCTCTGGCCCTGAAGACTCTCATCAGGCCACACACCTCCAATTTCCCCAGGCCACACACCCTTCTTGCCTGGCTGGACCAGACCTCTGATAATGCCTATTGGATGGAAGATGGAGAGAGGTGTGTGAGCATGTATGTATATATGGAAACATGCCTACTGTATTTTTGGAATTCATTGCTTTGCTCACTTTTACCTCTGCAACCCCACAGCCCCTAGAAGGTTGCTGAATTCATCCCCCAGGCTGCAAAAAGTTCCACACCACTTGATCTGTCCTCCTCGCCTCCTGACACATGAATCAGTCTAGAGCAAAATGTGCAAGAACCATGGAAAATAGAATTTCTCCAACCTGTCCTTGAGTATGTTACTTTCCTACTCTGTGTTGCATGTGCCATGGATAAGAGGGACACCAAAAGCTGCAGACCAGGACCTCACTCCTCCCTCAGAGCTGGAAGATAATTGCGGGGGGGGGGGTGGAGGAGGAAGAAGGAGTTCTTCATTGGATCTGAACAAAATCCAGGTTCATGAAGAATGCAGGGCTCTATCATGTTTACGCTTATATTATGAACCTGAAATTTAAATACAGTGGTACCTTGGGTTAAGTACTTAATTCGTTCCGGAGGTCCGTTCTTAACCTCAAACTGTCCTTAACCTGAAGCACCACTTTAGCTAATGGGGCTTCCTGCTGCCGCCGCACCGCCGGATCACGATTTCTGTTCTCATCCTGAAGCAAAGTTCTTAACCCGAGGTAATATTTCTGGGTTAGCGAAGTCTGTAACCTGAAGCGTATGTAACCCGAGGTACAACTGTATGTCATTAGCATTTCTAAAACTGGGCATTCTGCTTCTTGATTTTTTTTTTTTTTTACATCTTGTTTTTCTGTGTAAAGTTACATATTTAACACTAGAAAAACTTTGACTTAACATGAACTACCAGGATGTAGTCAGATAAAAATAGAAATGTATACATGTGAGGGCAGTTTAAAAGATTTGGAGTTAAAGTGCTAAACAACAATGCATTAAATTGGGATAGAAAACTTATTGGCAATGCAACTGTCAGGCTATTTTGTGCCCTGGGCAAGAAGAAGAAGAGAAGAAGAGTTTGGATTTGATATCCCGCCTTTCACTCCCCTTCAGGAGTCTCAAAGCGGCTAACATTCTCCTTTCCCTTCCTTCCCCACAACAAACACTCTGTGAGGTGAGTGGGGCTGAGAGACTTCAAAGAAGTGTGACTGGCCCAAGGTCACCCAGCAGCTGCATGTGGAGGAGCGGAGACGCGAACCCGGTTCCCCAGATTAGGAGACTACCGCTCTTAACCACTACACCACACTGGCTCTCGACTGACTACTTGCACCCACCCCCCAAAATGGGCTGATTGATTTCAAAATGGATGTTGTACCATACAACACGAATCACCAGAAACTTGAATTTACAAATTAAATCTTGGGGTCTTAGCTTCAAATAGAGAAGTATTTCCAGACAAACCTTTTAGGCTTGTGTCATCAAGTATCTTTATTTAAGCATCATATAATAGATACTACCAAGATGGTATCTCAGTAGTTCCAAAGTAGTTCTGTGTTGTTTTGCTCAACAGCGTAACAGTTATGCCTAAGTCTGATACATGGCTAGTTAGAATTTGCCACCACTGAGTCAATTCAGAGAAATAATTATAGATCTGTGGAATCAAACTGAAGAAACCAGTTGTTTCATTGACTACCAGGTTTAAAGGGTGTGAATTCAGGTTGAATTCAGGATTACCCGTAGTAATAATAATAATAAAAATAATAATTTTTTTCTACCCCACCCATCTGGCTGGGTTTCCCTAGCCACTCTGGGTGGCTTCCAACAGAAGGTTAAAAATATAAATGTGAAGCTGTTTTTCTAAGGTATGTCTTCACTTTGGGAGCATGTGGGACTGTTGTTCCCTCGACTCTTTGTCCTGTTTCAGTTAAATGGTTTCAGCCTTGTCCTTTGATAGCCAGATCTGATATTTACATGCACATAGTGCTCTTAAAAGGTAAAGGGACCCCTGACCATTAGGTCCAGTCGTGACCGACTCTGGGGTTGAAGCTCATCTTGCTTTATTGGCCAAGGGAGCCGGCATACAGCTTCTGGGTCATGTGGCCAGCATCACTAAGCCACTTCTGGAAAGCCAGAGTAGCGCACGGAAATGCTGTTAACTTCCCGCCGGAGCAGTACCTATTTATCTACTTGCACTTTGATGTGCTTTCGAACTGCTAGGTTGGCAGGAGCAGGGACCGAGCAACGGGAGCTCACCCCGTCGCAGGGATTCAAACATCCGACCTTCTGATTGGCAAGTCCTAGGTTCTGTGGTTTAACCCACAGCGCCATCAGTCTATGCTTTTAGTTGCGTCCTGATCCTGAAACAAACAGCTCCAAATAGGCCTTTCTAAACAGTACTTTCTTAAAGTTCTCTCTCCAGCCAGAGCCAATTTCCCCCCTTTTGTGTTTTAATTTTAACCTATATAGATCTTCCTCCTTATCTCTATCCCCTTTAAGAAACAAACAAATCAGAGTGCAATTCCGTAGCACAGCTATTCTAAGCAACTTACAACAATTTTGGGGGAAGTATCTGCAATGGGTAACATAGGATGTCATTCACCTGCTTTATTATTTGCAGTGGCTAAAGCTGATTCCTTTGAACAGACTTCTACGGATGTCAGGTTATTAAGAGTTCTGTAGGTCACAGCAGTCACCTTGAATTTTTACCCAGAAGGTTGCTATGGAACATATTGATTAACCTGCTTTGTGCTTATGCCTGTGCGGCTGATAAATTCATGATCCACACTAATATACCTGAACAAATCTCTAATGCTTTTACAAGAAAATTGGGATTTGTTTTCTGTTCTATGATTCCAGCTGGCAATCGTCTTACACCCTGAAGCATGGGATTGACTTAGTCTTATCATTATCTCGCTGGGTGTGTGTAGTACCCAGGAGAGACAGAAAAATAAAAGCCACTAGAATGTTACAATGGATAAATATAGCCCCTGTATCAGAATTGCCTGCTGGCCCAGATATTGTTTCAGGGAAATGAGGTGCATTTTAGAATCTACAAGAGAAGGGAAGCTGAAAAAGAAGGAAATTGGAATAAGAAAGAAAAGGGGGAACAAACACTTGGTTATGGAAGGAATTAAAAGGCAAGGGATAGTTGGGATCAAGATAGAGGTCTTCTCCACCTCTACCTTGAGCTGCTGATAAAGCGCGTTCTCCATTAAGTGAGAGCACGGGTTGCGGTGTGGGCCACCAGGCCAGCCCTGGGTTGCCAGGCAGGTTAATGGCTATTGCCTGGTGCATCGATTGGCTGACCGGGTTGCTGGGGCAAATTGCATGTAGCAAATTGGTGGGTGGGATCATAGTCTTTAAATACTGGGGCACTCTGGCTTTTGCTTTCTCTTTAGCAGAGTGCATCGGATCACCTGCCCGCCCGCCCGCCCGCCCTTGTTTTGCCTGTCATGGGGTCGCCTGCCTTGGGGCAGGGGCCTAGTAGGAATTTTGCCATTTGGCTGATTGGCTGGTGCCACTTGGTTTTTGCCTACTACTTAGCAATTCGTCACAACTTGTAAGGTTGTGGTTAGGCATTGGTTATAAAAAGCTGGTGGTGGAGGGGTCAGGATAGGCTGTGCCTTCCCCTCCAATGGTGCTGAAGGGAATTCCGTTAAAGGAATCCTGGGGCTTGCCACGATTTCGTCCAATCCCTGAAATGGGACCAGGGCCGGCAAGCCTTGGGGAGCTGGTTGGGTGAGTGGTGAGGGACTGACGCTCAGCTCAACTGATCCCCAACATTGACTTTCCCTTCAACTGGCTTCCAATTGGAGTTCGGAATGTCAGTTCTGTCCCAGGCGGGGGGACAGATAGTCATAACCAATGTTTAAACAACCACTCACAGATTTTGTATTTTAATAAAGTTGTGGCCAAATTAGTGCCCAAAAACCTAAAACTAAAATTACATGTGATGTGTGAATTATTTTGAGGGGTGGCTTGGGGACCCACACACGCAAAGCCACCTTCTCTTTCTGTGGATACAAGAATGATGGTGGGTTGCACTTGCCTTAGCGAGAAGAAATACTTACATGATCTGCAGTGATAATTTCTGGCATCATCCTAGGGTAAAAAGAATGTTTATGCACAACTTTGGCTTCTTTGGGGGGGGTTCCAACTTTAGCTATCATAAATATGCATAATTTAGGGATGGGTGTAGGTAGCTTCTTCCTTAAGAACAGAGTGGGGTTTCCCCTGGGTTGGGGCTCTGAAAATTGTGGATATCTTGCAGGCATGACCATTGCCAGGATACTAGCACCCTGACAGGTCACTGCTTGAGCCTGTTTTGAACCTCCCTGCTTACCTTGGTTGACAAGGGAACACAGGAAGGGATGCAAAAGGTGTAAACTGAAATACTGATACAGGTTTGCTTGTTGACAAATTTCAAAGTCTCCCCATGGGGATTCCTTTCCTTATGTGCTTCCACAATACCACCTGCACGATATTGTTCAGAAATGATTTGAAGAGGGTTAAACGCTCTCCCAGGTTGAGCTCATCAAGTTGCCTTTTTTAAAAATAAAAATAAAAATGTATAAGAATCCTTGGGTGGTGTTGAGTCACATTATAACTTTTCCTATAATGATCCCTTTGCTGGTTCAGCTCTACCTGAGGTGACCTATTGTACCGGCTTGAAAGGCAGAATGGCATTTTCTAAAAGCCGGGAGAGGTTTATGATTAGGGGACAGAAGAAAGGTTGGGAAATAATAAAAGCAAAGAGAGAAGGTATGGCATTTACAGCACCAGCAAACAATAGGGACAGAGTAACATTTCACTTGTACATTAGGCAACCTATGTTGCATCCCTAATATAACTCCAGGAGACAAGCTTGATTTGTTAAGAATAACTTCAGGCAGGTACCTGGGATCAGTAGGCGTGGAACATGCAGGCAAGTTAGGTGGCAGGCGGTTGTTAGAAGAGTCGCTTTTCATTGCGTTCCCAGCACTCGGCTCACACCATAATGTGCTCATTTATTATTAGACCCTGGCTTTTATGGGCCCTGGATTTTATGGGCACTGTGAGGATAGGAAGCACTGTGCATGTCAGAGGAATGCATGCAGGATACCAAAAAGCAAAGCAGGGAGGGAACATTTGCAGAAGAACAGGCTGCAGAGACCGAAAGCAGGTTTTGCCTGCAGGAGTCTCTGGAGCACTTCTCTCGCTTTCTGTTTTTGAACTTGTGGACAGAGATAATGTACCATAGGATTGTATAGTTGGAAGGTACCCCCCCCCCCCCGGTCATCTAGCCCAACACCCTGAAATACAGACATCTCAGCTAAAGCATCCCTGACAGATGGCCATCCAGCATCTGCTTAAAAACCTCCAAGGAAGGAGAGTCCCAAGGGAGTCCATTACACTGTCAAACAGCTCTTCCTGCCAGAAAGTTCTTCCAGATGTTTAGTGCCCTCGTATTTACCGGACCGCCTCCCCTGGTATGCCCTGCAGAGGACCTTAAGGTCCATGAATAACCATAGTTTAGAGGTCCCGGGCCCTAAGGAAGCCAGACTATCCTCCCCCGGGGCCAGGGCCTTTTCAGTGATGGCTCCGACCTGGTGGAATGCTCTGTCCCAGGAGACTAGGGCCCTTCAGAATTTAACCTCCTTCCACAGGGCCTGTAAGACAGAGCTATTCAACCTGGACTTTAATGTGAATTCAGCCTGATCTTTTATTTCCCTTCCCTTCTCTTCCGCCCCCTTCCCCTTGTATGAAGATTACCCGCTCTGAGACCCCACAGCTAATTCTCCCCTGGCCTCCTCGCTGGCCCAAGTAGGACCAATTCAGCCAGCTAGCCCTGGTGATTATCTAATGCTTATTTCCCCTAAATTGATTTCTGAATTTTGAATTTTATTGTTATTCATGTTATTATACTGTATTTTATGCTGCTTTTACAATTAAGTGTTTTAAATTTGTTGTTAGCCGCCCTGAGCTCGGTTTTTGAACCGGGAAGGGCGGGGTATAAATAAAAAAATATTATTATTATTATTATTATTAGTCGGACTCTCCTTTCTTGTAACTTGAAGCCATTGGTTTGAGTCCTACCCTCCAGAGCAGGGGAAAACAAGCTTGTTCCCTCTTTCATGTGATAGTCCTTGAGATATTTGAAGATGGCTATCATATCTCCTCTTTTCCAGACTAAACATACCCAGCTTCCTCAACTGCTCCTCATAAGGCTTGGTTTGACCCTTCATCATCTTGGTCGTCCTCATCTGCACATGTTCCAGCTTGTCAAAATCCTTCATAAATTGTGGTGCCCAGACACAGTATTCCAGGTGTGGTCTGACCAAGGCAGAATGGAGTGGTACTATTACTTCCCTTGATTCTGTTGATGCAGCCTAGAATAGCTTTAGCTTTTTTTGCTGCTGCATCACACTGTTGACTCATGTTAAGCTTGTGGTCCATCAAGACCCTTAGATCCTTTTCACAGGTACTGCTAGGAAGCCAGGTGTTCCCCATCCTATATTAGGGAACCTGGTTCTTCCTGCCTAAGTGCAGAACCTTACATTTGTCCCTATTGCAATTCATTTTGTTGGCTTTCATCCAGTTCTCCAATCTGTTAATGTCATTTTGAATTCTGAATCTGTTTTCTGCAGCATTAGCTACCCCTCCCAGTTTGGTGTCATCAGCAGATTTGATGAGCAACCCCTCAATTCCTTCATCCAAGTAATTTATAAAGATGTTAAACAACAATGGGCCCAGGACAGAACCCTGAGGCAACCCACTTGTCACTTTTTCTCAGGAGGACGAGGAACCATTAATGGCCGCTCATCATGTCCCAGCAGTGGGTGACGTTTGCAGCCCTGCGCACTGCACCGCCATCTTCCCAGAACCATGCTGCTCCTGTGGCCATTGCTCTCCTCCTGGGGTCACCATGGAGGCCACTGGGTTCCCGCCACAACCCAGCCATTTGAATCGGCGAATCTGCAGTGGATGCAGCTAGGAGGAGCGGACCGTGCCGAAGCAGGCTTCCCTCTGGTCCACTCCTCAGATTTAAAGGAGGCCAGAGGCCTCTGGTCTAATCTATTTTGGTATCGGTATATAGGGGGCTGGGCTGGGCTGGGCTAGATGACCCAGAGCCCCTTCTAACTCTGTTTTCAGTAACACGAGGGAAGGATACTGTTAATTAGTTATTAATTACTCATGATGCCATAGGCATGCACACACATGGGGGGTTACAATGCATGGTTAGTTCTCATGTGATCTATGGTGCTCTTTATGTGGGAGTCTGCATTTATGTATTCTCTTCTTCAGTGCCTGGTCAGCTCAGCTGGCTGAAACATGATGCTGATGGGGCCACGGTTGCATGTTTGATCCTTATTGTAATGGATTTAGGGGTTGCTCGTGCGTAAGTTGCCGCCACTCCTGGCGAGGTTACCTGGTTAAACCCTTTCTGACTGAACAGCCTCCAGCATCGTGACTGTCTCAGTCGCTGGCAGAATCCGTCAGTGGGCGTTTCTTGAACTTCTTCCAGCACAAAAGTTCTTTGACGCCAAGTCTCCTCCTACTCTCGCTGCGCGGAAGTCTTCTGCGCAGGGAGGGTGTGGGCAGCGGAGTACCCGTACTCTCTCCGCTGGTCTCCGGCGAGGAGTCTTGGAGCCTCCTCTCCGATTCCCCCATCTGCCCCCCTTCTCTACTGGTGTTACGCTGATTTCCTTCCCCAGCGGACGGGCTGCCTCTCTCCCTACTGGGACCCTCTCTGCCATCCCTCTGGAGCCTTCCCTCCGCTTCCAGCTCCGATGGCAGTTCCCTGACACTTATGGTGGGGTAGCGGAATATTTCTGCATTGCAGGGGGTTGGACTAGATGATCCTTGGGGTCCCTTCCAACTCTACAGTTCTACCTGCACAATTTATATCTGAATTGTTTCACAGTCATCTCGTCTGTGCTGCGCCAGCATGGAATCTTTAGCTGCTGCCATTGACTATGCTTGTCGGCCTGGGTATGGTGTGCCCCTTTAAAGAATTCCCCTCCCACCTGGGAGGTTTCCGTTGGCTTCTAAGAATGTGCACACACTCAGATGGTAACGGTTTCTGTTTTATATTCACAGCTTTCCCTAAGTGCAGGCTTATATTCTTCGGCTCTGTGGCTCTTCCGTCTAATTCTTTGCTATATCACTTCCTAATTTTTTCAGTCCTTTTCCTTATTAAGATAATATTAATATTGTACTAGTAGTGATGTATGGAAGTGAGAGCTGGACCATAAAGAAGGCTGATCGCCGAAGAATTGATGCTTTTGAATTATGGTGCTGGAGGAGACTCTTGAGAGTCCCATGGACTGCAAGAAGACCAAACCTATCCATTCTTAAGGAAATCAGCCCTGAGTGCTCACTGGAAGGACAGATCCATTCTTAAGGAAATCAGCCCTGAGTGCTCACTGGAAGGACAGATCCTGAAGCTGAGGCTCCAATACTTTGGCCACTTCATGAGAAGAGAAGACTCCCTGGAAAAGACCCTGATGTTGGGAAAGATGGAGGGCACAAGGAGAAGGGGACGACAGAGGATGAGATGGTTGGACAGTGTTCTTGAAGCTACCAGCATGAGTTTGACCAAACTGCGGGAGGCAGTGTAAGACAGGAGTGCCTGGCGTGCTCTGGTCCATGGGGTCATGAAGAGTCGGGCACAACTAAACGACTAAACAACAACAAAATATTGTACTAGTAACAGTAACAACATTATTAGCACTATCATGCTGCCTGCTAGCAGAACCGAACAACAAGGGGTAACTTCTCCACCTCACACGCGTAAGGGGCGCTCCTAGTCGAGCCGTGCAGGTCACTAAAAAGATTAAGAAGAGGGTGCTCTCTTCGGGGAGGAAGCGTGCCACCACAAAGCGTGTTTCTACTGGAGGCAAGAAGGCAACATTGGTTGGCTCTCCGACCGCATCTGGGAGCCTTGCAACCACCTTCAAGCGGTCAGTTATCTCCTCCAGACGTCAGGTGAGTCCTTCCCCCCTTCCTCCCCTGATTATTCCTCTTCTAACTGTAATAAAAAAAATAAGGTCTTATATATATAATAAATGTTCATAGGTGTACCAGCCAAGCACGTAGATGGATGTGGGGACCACATCTCTGGAGCAGCACAGGAACACCGACCTGAAACCATTTTGACTCCCAAACTGATCAAATGTTTTCTCTTAAAGGAGGGAGGGCATGAGGGAATTGTCTCAGGAATTGGGTAATCACCATTTCAAAGGAATGGCCAGACTACCAGGAAAGGCAATCAGATAAGGCATTATCAGATAACCTGGCAGACAGGAAAAACAACAACATTCAAATTTCTGTTGTAGACCACCTTTTCTGTGATGTAGGTATGACGTTTACACCCCTTCTGTGATGCATGTATGATGTATGGAGGGGTGATCTTGAGCTCCAGGGCAGGGAATTTAAAATGTCTATATAAGGGCAGGCACACCTTTGTCCTGGGTCCTCCTCCGTCCTTCTGTGTGTGAGGGGAGCACCCTGTTGCAACAGTTTTATAAAGATCAGGCTTACTAGCTGCTTTACTTCTCAATATTCTCTGGTTGGCCTTTGTTATTTTCTCCTACCAATAGGGAACCTACTTAAAGACTCTACACAGGCTCTTGCATACCCCATAAGGGAAAAAGGGCAATTTTGTTTACAACATAACAAACATTCCTCTTCTTGGTCACTAGGGAAGGGACAACAGGGACAGAACTATTGCCCGTTTAAGGCAGTGCTTGGAGCAGGCTGAGGTGCGCATAGCAAAATCTCGTTCTTCTCATCGCCGTTTTTGGATGGTTTGGCGCAGAGGTAGGTCTCCCGCCACTAGTTTTTCTGACAGTTCCTTGTGCCCTGAATCTCATAGGTCACAGCGCAGGAAGAAGAGATCCCGCCGGACCAGGAAACGCAGACGTGAGTCCAGGAGAGATTCTTTGGATTCATCAGAGACCCCAGTATGTCTGATTATTCTGATAGTGATTTAGAAGATCAGATTAAGCGGTATTGGGTTAACCAGAGGTTCGATAGCCGTCTGAGGACCCCAGTCCTGCCACTAACCACCTGGCCTAGGGCAGGGCCTGATGGACGCTATAAAGGACTGCTGCCGCTGCTGCTGCTGCTGGACAGAGAGGGCTCCTTTTAAAAAAAATAATTTTAAAAATGCTGTTATTTTTCTACCTATGCCATTTTAAACTGTGATATTAATGTTGTATTCTTAGTTTTAGATTTTACATGGAAATTGTTTCCCATTTGTTTGTGTATTTTTTTTTGATGTGGTTTATTTATTGTTTATGACTTTTGTAATTACGTAACTCTTGTTATGCTGTAAGCCGCCTTGAGCGTAGTTTTTTTAACTGTGGAAAGGCGGCATACAAATAAAAAATGGTGATGGTGATGATGCTTTGGCTGAGGTGCCTGCATTGCAGGGGGTTGGACTAGATGACCTTTGGGTTCCTTCCAACTCTACGATTCTAGGAGTTTAATGAGTCTAACCTAACCTACTTCCAAGGGTTGCTATGGGGATTAAATGAGGAGGGGGAGGAGAACCATGGATGCCATCTTGAACTCCTTGGTGAGAAAGGTGGCAAAAAAAATGTAATTAAAATGAATAAAAGAGCTTGTTAGAAGAGGTGCCTTAGCTGCTAGTTTCCTGGCAATAGCATCACTGCGACTTACCAGGAGGAAGAGGGGCAAGGTGGGTGGGGGGGCAGCCAGCACTGTGCAGATGAATACTGACAGGACTGCCCTGCCTTTCTCTTTTTAATATATATTTCATTTATGATTTTCAGTTTCATATAAACCATACATCAAAAAGAAACTGCAGTATCTGTTGTGCCTCATTTCTTTTTTATTTTTTTATGATTTTCAATTTTATAAATTTCAATAATTTTACAGTCATCTTAACATTTCAAAACTCAATTTACTTTCCCCTCTTTCTGCAATTCCTTAAATTTGTTTCTTATATTTTCTGCAAATCCAAATTTGCTCATTCATTCATCTTCTTTAAATATATACTCTTATAAAACTGCAGGTTATTACAATAATGCTGCCAATCTTCTTATCTGTTTACAGTTTATTTCTAAATATTCAATAAACCATTCACATACATGAATAAATTTCTATACAGTTTGAGTAGTTATGTCCCTATAATTCCCCAAAGGAAAGCTCCTGGTTTTCTTTACAAACATTATTTTAAAGATCGTTTTCAATTCATTATATATCATTTCCCAGTAAGCTTTAACCTTACTGCAAGACCACCACATATGATAAAAATAACCTTCTTTCTCTTTACACTTCCAACACTTATTTGATTTTGATTTATACATTTTTGCCATTTACTCGGTGTTAGGTACCATCAATATAACATTTTCATAAAATTTTCTTTCATGCTGTGAGTTTTATATCCCTATTCCACAATCGTTCCCATGCTTTCTTTTCTATATTATAACCAATATCTATTGCCCAATGTATCATTGAGGAACTTACTTGCTAATCCTTGGTCTCCCATTCCAGTAATATCTTATACATTTTAGACAGCACTTTTACATTACATTCTAACAGATCTCTCTCCAGTTGTGATATTTCTTCCCCAAACCCTCGTATCCTATCTTTCTTAAATAATTGGTTCAAATGATGATATGATATCCATGTTGTTAAATTGCCTGATAATTCCTTAAATTATTTTAATTGATACTCTTCTCCCTCTTGTTTTAATAAAAATATATAAAAAGTTTGTTATCTTGATTTCTTATTTTTCCGATAAGATTTGCCATTTCTGCATATTCCATAAGTTTTTGTATCCATTCTTCTTTCGCTGGGACTTCTTCTTCTTTCCATTTTTGGGCAAGTAACATTCTTGCCGCTGTAGATGCACCCATACTGTTAGGGAAAAGAACCGCCAGGGATAAAAAAATGACCAAAGACTAGCATATTTGCAATAAAAATCTCTATTAGAATAAAAAAATTAATTGGGGAAGGGGAAAACTGGGCCTTGGTGGAGAGAGCTGCTGGCCTCACTGTTGCCACTACCTGGAAGAGAAAAGAACAGAAAAGATTCTTAATATTTCCATTTATTATTACTGCAAGGATCTCCAAGTGGCCCACATTATTCTCCCTTCCTCATCCAATCCCTAAACTCTTCTTAAATCAGGGAGCTGCCTCCCCCCCCCCCCAGCCAGCCAGATTCTCTCTGGCCTCCCTGTTCTTCGTGAACAAAGATCAACACTCACCACTGGTGGAATCACTGGTGGCATCCATCCCCTGGTCCTTCGGCCTCACATAGATGGTTCTCAGTTTAATTTTCCTCCCGTCCACGATTACACTTTCTTGCCTCATACAGTCCAGGGGATGGATTTTAGTGGCACGGCAACAGGAGGCCAGCAGCTCTCGAAACCTGTGCAGACAGCGGGATCTAGGAAAGAAAAGGAAGAAGGTCACGAAATGGATTCTAGTTATTTCCTCGATACTCTCTATCTCTGCACTGCAAGCCATTTCCCTCAAAGCATCTAAGGGGGCCCTGAAGACAATCTTGAAAAATTAATCTAACCATGACCTGGTTCCCTATGTGTCTAAATCTTAAGGGATAGTTAAAGAAATAGGGGGAAGAATAAGAGATCCTACTTACAAGCGGGATGAATGAACCTTCATTATGTCGAAAACCACAAGTGTCAAACTAGCTCTTCTCCCACTAAATTCAAATAGTTGCTCTTCCCAAAGTTCTCAGCCAAGTCACTCAGCAGCGGGACGTGTCACAATGGAGGACATGACACGGTTACTTTAGCTACCTTGCTTAACAATGGGCATTGTTCCCCTTAATATTTATTTCTCAAACATATCTTTCAGTGGGTTAAGTGGTTTTATTCAATTTATTTAGAAAAGATCCAGAGCTGGCTTCATCCAGCATGGTGCATTTCTGGACAGGACAAGAAACACCTTGCAAACACACACACACTTTTCAACATGGAGGGGTCACCAAGGGACAACACTTCTGGCCTTGACTATGGCTGCTGTTTCTCACTTAAGAGTTAAAAATAACCCCTCTCAACACCCTGTAGTAATCTGTCTAGTATTATGACAGGAGCAGGACTTCACCCTTCTACCTCCTCATCCCCCTGTTTCTTTCTGTTTCTGCCCAATGTGCTCTGCCAATAAACAGCTTTCCTTAGGTTGCAAGGGAGTGAAATGTTATGAGTTTGTGGGTGCCAGACTCCCCTTTGTCATGAGTTTCTGGGTGCCAGGCACTGAACCCCTGGACACTGAACATCTGGGGAGTTGATTTAAGCTTTGTTTAAAGGAACCCCAAGCTCTACATTTGATTATTGGCTATTAAAAACTGGTTGAAACCCTTTTATTTCATTCACCAAAGAAAGTCTGATGTGATTATGATAAAGGTTTATAGACAATGGGTGGCACATTTATTGATCCTTCTTGTAAGTTATTTGTCTACTTTAATGTGTTATTTATCTATAGTAATCAGTAAGGGATTGGGGTGGGAAGCAGTTTTGAATATGAACTGGTGGATGACTGTCATTAATTTAGGTCAACTTCATAGAATCATAAAATATTAGAGTCGTAAGGGTCATCTAGTCCAACCCCCCGCAATGCAGGAATCTCAGCAAAAGCATCCATAGCAGATGGCCAGCCAACCTCTGCTTAAAAACCTGTCAAGGAAGGAGAGTCCACTACTTCTTGTGGGAGTCTGTTCGACTGCCAAACAGATCTTACTGTCAGAAAGTTTTAAAAAATGTTTAGTCGGAATCTCTTTTCTTGTAACTTGAAGCCACGGGTTCAAGTCCTACCCTCCAGAGCAGGAGAAAACAAACATCCTCCCTCTTCCGAGTGACAGCCCTTAAGATATTTGAAGATGGCTATCAGATCTCCTCTCAGTCTCCTCTTTTCCAGGCTACAAATACCCAATTCCTTCAACACCCTCCTTAAATTGCGGTGCCCAGAACTGGACACAGTATTCCAAGTGTGGTCTGACCAAAGCAGAATAGAGTGGTACTATTACTATTGCTTCCCTTGATCTGGACACTAGACTTCTGTTGATGCAGCCTGGAATTTGTTGTCGTTTAGTCGTTTAGTCGTGTCCGACTCTTCGTGACCCCATGGACCAGAGCACGCCAGGCACTTCTGTCTTCCACTGTCTCCCGCAGTTTGGTCAGACTCATGTTTGTAGCTTCGAGAACACTGTCCAACCATCTCATCCTCTGTCGTCCCCTTCTTCTTGTGCCCTCCATCTTTCCCAACATCAGGGTCTTTTCCAGGGAGTCTTCTCTTCTCATGAGGTGGCCAAAGTATTGGAGCCTCAGCTTCACGATCTGTCCTTCCAGTGAGCACTCAGGGCTGATTTCCTTCAGAATGGATGCGTTTGATCTTCTTGTAGTCCATGGGACTCTCAAGAGTCTCCTCCAGCACCATAATTCAAAAGCATCAATTCTTCGGCGATCAGCCTTCTTTATGGTCCAGCTCTGACTTCCATACATCACAACTGGGAAAACCATGGCTTTAACTATACAGACCTTTGTTGGCAAGGTGATGTCTCTGCTTTTTAAGATGCTGTCTAGGTTTGCCATCGCCTTTCTCCCAAGGAGCAGGCGTCTTTTAATTTCATGACTGCTGTCACCATCTGCAGTGATCACCCTCATTAAAAGGTTCTTTAATTCCTCCTCACTTTCTGCCATCAAGGTTGTGTCATCTGCATATCTGAGGTTGTTGATATTTCTTCCGGCAATCTTAATTCCGGCTTGGGATTCATCCAGCCCAGCCTTTCGCATGATGAATTCTGCATATAAGTTAAATAAGCTGTGTTACATTGTTGACTCATATTAAGCTTGTGGTCCACCAAGGTTTGTCCCCCTTGCCCAAATTTTGGAGTGCTTGGGAATTCATTGATTTATGTTAACACTGGCACCCCGTCTTTCTCTCCCTGCCCCATTTTGTCCTCAACAACAGCCCTGTGACAGGTTAGGCTGAGAGACAGTGATTGGCCCAAGGTCACCCAGTGAGCTTCATGGCTGAGTGAGGATTTGAACCCAGGTCTCCCAGGTCCCATTTCTGTAGTCCAGGCTGTATCCAACACTGGCTCTCACTAGAACTGGCTAAAGCATTTATGAGGAGGGAAGATGAAAAGGGGAGGTGTCCTTGGGGAGATCATGGTTGCACATTTGAGGTGGGGGAGTAAAGGGAGGAATTCAATGTTGTGCTTGTCTGACCGTTCTCTCAGCGCAATTTTTTCTGCTTGCCAGATGGAAAGATCTCCCTCTCCACCCCCACATGCTGTTCTGGGGGATCCCCTGACCCTCCAGAGTGGATTTGGGGGAGGCATGGTAGTTTTCAGGCAGAATAGAAGGGAGGAAACCCCTCTTGTGCAAGAAGGAGACTTTGTGCTGGTTTCTACTGCTGCTCTGGGTTAATTGAATTCAGTCCCTCATTTAAATTTCTCAGAAACAGGGGCTTCTCTCAGCCCTCCCAAGATCCACTTGAGATTTTGGGTAGCACTGTGTTTATTTCCTCACCATCTCCTGCACATGCAACAATGTGAACAAGAGAGGTTATTGATTGCAAAAAACTGGAAATCAGAATTAGTACCAACATTGAAAGCTTGGCAATATAATTTTTTTGAAATGATTGAATTAGCAAAAATGACGGCAACAATTAGAATGCAATCTAATCAAAATCTCAAACAGGAATGGCAATGTGTAGAAGAATACATGACCAAAAGGTGCTCCAAGAAGAATTTATTGATATGTATAGACTGATTTCACAAAGTTAGGTTAAGCAGATATATAAGATTGAGTGTTTAATTATTAAGATACAAGATTAAATCTCAATAATAAAGTTACAAAATAATAACAAGGAAGCCATGCACGGGTGGAGGGAAGACACAGGGCAAGAAATAAGAAATGGATAAATGTTGGTACATAATGAAATGTGAAAATGTGAATTTATGAAAATAATGTATATGTATCAATATGTAATGATTTCATATATGTATTGCAACATTAATAATAAATAAATTAAGTGCAAAAAATCTGAACGATATTTGATTGTAATAATAATAATAATAATAGCGTATACAGTAGTACCTCGGGTTAAGTACTTAACTCGTTCCGGAGGTCCGTACTTAACCTGAAACTGTTCTTAACCTGAAGCACCACTTTAGCTAATGGGGCCTCCTGCTGCTGCTGTGCCACCGGAGCCCAAATTCTGTTCTTATCCTGAAGCAAAGTTCTTAACCTGAAGCACTATTTCTGGGTTAGCGGAGTGTGTAACCTGAAGCGTATGTAACCCGAGGTACCACTGTACATCAGGGTCTGTCTTAAGAGCCTAGATTTCATTCATTTTCATTTCTAGTCCTTACTGAAACACAGTGTTCTAAATTGATCAACCAAAAAAAGCAAAAAGCAGCCCAAACATCTACATATTTGATTATTTTCTAGACTTTCTTTGATTTGTAAACATGACCTACATGCATTCTTTAAAGACTGGTTTTCAGGACATCTCTTAATTTGCATCAGAGATCTGAAAGTTCTTGTATTCTTTGGAGGGTTTTATCTACCCCATGTTTTCTACAGTGGAGGCTTTTAATTGCAATGTATTTATATTAAGCCATGTTTTGGAGGAGGAGCTCTCCATATGGCGCATTCTGTAGAGTCTTCTCTGCAACCCCCTGCTAACTCTCAGCTGGGTGCATTGCTATCGTGCCTGACGTTTTGCAATGCAGTACACTCTAAGGCTGGCTTTAACAAGCGACTCTTCCACACCTTACAGCTATTTAACAGCTTGCTCCTTGACTGTGCACCTGAGTGCAAATAACTATGCCTTAGGTGGGAGGATCCTGCATGCTGAGTTCCGTAAAGCATATGATGGAAAAAATGTGTAAAGCCACAGGGGCACACATTGGCATGACTACTGTATGTTTACAGACACATACCTACCTCTTCATTACTAATATGCAAAATGGAAACATGCCTTCCTCACATAGTGGGAGTTAGCCATGATGAAAACAATGTATTGTGTTGTTTTTCTTTAAACATCTTTGTGTGTTCAGACCCAGAGACCTCCCCCCTAAATAAATTCACACTTGATTCAATTTTTAGTTTTGGTTTTTTGGCAGAATTTAGGCCACAACTTTATTGATTACAGAAAAGTGAGTGGCTGCATGGGCTCTGGTTTGACTAGCTCCCTGCACCTTTGCAGGTAGCGCTGACCCAGGGCACCAGCATAGGTCAGACAAGGGTGAACACCTGAGGTAGGCGAAAAGCCCAGGAACAGACTCTGTTCATTCCCCCAGATGCTACCCTGGACTCAACCTCTCGGGGGTTGACCAAACCAAGTTGAGTCACTTCACATAGGGATGGTGAGACCGTTCTCCCATCCCTATCACATGAACCAGTGCCCATCCGCAACCTTACAAGTTGTGACGATTTGCTAAGCGGCAGGCGATACCCAAATGCCCACAGCCAATCAGCCAAGTGGGGGAAATTCCTGCCATGCCCCTGTCCCAACAACAGATGACACATGACGGCAGAGCAAGGTCATTCGCAAAATACCCTAAATATAGGGAGAGGTGGGTGAGTGTTCCATTTGCACGAACCAAAAGAGAATCTCTGGGTCACGTGCAAGGTATTAAATGGGTCCCTCAA